TGATCAAAGCTTGGATCTTGTCTTTGAGGGCATACCATGACTTAGTTGGATGGTGGACTGCTCTGTGGAACGCATAGTATTTCGGATCATTAACCCTTTTGGCATCTTCCTGATCCTGGATTAGAGGAAACTTAATCATGTTGTTCTTTATGAGGTATTTGAAAATACCGGGGACTTCATCTTCTTTAAAAGAGTAAACCTTCAGGAATTTCGGTTCTGAAGTCTTCTATTTCTGAGGTTGTTATTTCCACCGTGACTGCTGAGGCGCCTTTTGCTGCTATTGTTGTGGTTGCGGTTGCGCTTGCAGCTCGAATGTTTGGTTCGCATCCATTGCATGAGCTTGTGCTTTTCCCTTATCCCGAGGGATAAAATTCTGCTGTGGAGCATTCGTCGCTATTTGACATCTTTCGGCCTTCTTCCTCTTGAGGAAGCGTTCGGCTCATTCCCCTCGAGCCTTTAAATCTTTTCAGGTCTTGGAGGGCGCCATTCCCATAGCTTCAAGGATATCCAATGAAAGATTGTTGTGACAAGTTTCTAGGATAAAGTCCTCGCTGACCGGATCTCCACAATTCATAGCTTTGTTCCGAAATCGTTTGATGAAATTTTGACCAACTCTCTGTCCTTCTGCTTCTCATTGAATAACGTTTCAATTGAAACCTTGGTGTCATCATCAAAGAAATTTGTGAGGAACATGTCTTCCATGTCGTCCCAACTGCTGATACTTCCCGACTTAAGACGGTGATACCAATCGACGACTGCTCGGCGAAGAGTGCCAACGAATGACCGCACCATCAAAGGCTCATTTTCGGAGATTATTCCTAAATAAGACTTGAAGTATATCAAGTGCTGGGTGGGGGAACCCTTTCTGTCAAATGGCATGAAGTTGATTAAATTAAATTTTGCTGGGTATGGGATTGCTTCCCACTCCCTTGGGTAAGGACAGGGTATCCCAGACTTCTTTACTTCTTGAGCACTCATCAATGCATTGACTTTGTTCTCCAAGTTCCTCATCTTCCTATCCTCGCTTGTATCTTTCTTCGAGCGATTCCGGGGAGAAGTGACGTGGTCTTACTTCGTATTGTTATCATCCAATGGACCACCTCCAGCATTGTTGTCAACGGGAGGGGTGTCCATGTTGGCATTCTCATCCCCTTCCCGATCGCTATCGGCTTGGTTAGGATTTTTCGATGGCTGGACTCTCCTTGCTAATTCGTCAGCATCGCAATTTGTTGGCTGTGCATGTCTTTCATCTCCTGCATAGCCATCTCTATCTCGAATTTAAAATTCTCTTTCTGCTTGGCTAAAGCATCCCCGAGAATTTTAGCCATTTGTTCGGCATTAATCATGAATGATTCATAAGATTACCCTACATTGGATGTCGTGTCATCAGAAGCCATCGCAGAACAAGCATCTGACGTTTTATCGTCAGAGGACCATGACCTCCTGGGTCTAGGTCTGACAGTTCCAGACCATAACCAGATCATACACTGAGATACTTCTGCAAAAGGTTCAGGATTGAATCATTACGAGGACTTGCCTTTGTCGGCCATGTTGATAGTCACTCAAGGGAACTCATCACCTAAGCCGGTTGGCCTTCTTCTAGGGAAACCCCTCGTCTTTGGTTCAGGCGTTTTAATAGAGATTCGTTTAAATACTGAGACCCTCCGGGGAGCAGTCTCGTGGCAGCTACATTCTGACAACACTGCCTTGATGATTTTCACATAAGGACAACGAGAGTTCATCTCTCGGGCATTTCTCTTCCGAGACTTGTTCGTATTTGTCGCCTGATAGTACAACTCATCAGTCTGATGATTGGAGCAACCTATCATGTGTTGGCATGACTTCCTAGGTATAACATCGTCATCAGACGAACATGTTTCCCTCTGGGGATACGATGCTTCATTAGCGTCTCCAAGAGTCACTCGTTCAGATTTACGCCTTTGTAAGCATGAAACTCTAACGGGCTCTTGTACTTCGACTCGCAATCTGATGTGGTCGGTCAAAAGATCTTTCCCTTTATTATTATTAAGAGGATTAGTACGACCCCTAGCCTGAATGGTTGTTTGGGAGCCTTTCAACTGTCCCAATCGTTCCTTAACAGTTGCTTTACCTTGATCTTCGGGGAGAGGACCCAGGCGGTCTTTCAGAGAAACTCTAGATTTGGTGAGGTTCACATGCCATGGGGAGTGGGATCCGGAGTTGACAAAGGTTGAAGGGTAACTTCATCTACTTTTACCTTAGGCGCTGATTTGACCTTTGGCATCCAAACCCATTTCTGCTTGGGCGATTTTTTAACTACCTCTTCCTTCTGCATTTTTTGCGCTTCTTGCACAAGGACTCAGGCTTGCGCAATCAATGCGTGATGCTTCTGGATTCGTTCCTCAAGGGTAGAGTGGGTCTTCTTGAAGCGAACTCATTCGTTCTTCTCTGTTTTAGAAGAGGGGTTGCTCGATCGCCGTTGTTGTTCTTGGCGTTGCCTAGACTTCAGATCCACATCATAGCGGATCCTATCTATTGGTTCCAAAGCCTTAGCAAGTTGACGAGCAAGAAGTTGATGCCGTCTTTGGCACGCCGTCTTTGGCACGCCCTCTTTGACAACGTTGGCGCAACTTCAGCAATTGACACTTTGGTCAAGGAGGAGTTCGGATTAGTTTATCTAACTTTGCCGGATATTGGCGACACGTCACGACTTACAACTCCTAAGGCAGTGACACGGAGATTATCTTCTTGAGTCTTCATGTCGGAAGACCAGCGTACTTTTCTGGATCTGTGAGGAGAGGCAGATCTGGAGGAGGACAAATATTCATCAAACTTCTGTTGGTCGAATTCAAATTTGACCTCTTCATTCACCAGGATCTTGATCGCTGGTTGCATCACGACAATTCGATAGCGAAGTTGTTGGCTCCCACTGTGGTCACCAGCTTGTTTGGGGAGAAAGTTGAGTTCTTTATTACCATATTCATTACAACTTTAATCGTTACAATAAAAAAAGATAGTCTTTTTATAAGACCCTTACACAATGAGAACAAAAATAAGGACAACTCTCGTTCAAACGGCGCAACGGACGTTTATCCTCCGCTGCTTGCGTGGGATCTTGGCCTGTGATGGGGACGTTAGTATCCGTGGACCACCAGACGATCATATCAGATCCAGAGCTTCGTTGATTCACAAAAGAATCAAGAAACCAAATCAATTATCTCGGTAATAGAGAGATAATCACTCTTCTCGAGATCACCGCAACGGGACAATCTCAAGGAAATGAAACGGGAAGTATGGATTTGACGAGCTCCTCTTCTTTATGCCGATGAACTCGATCCGATCTCCTCCTCTCTTTTGAAATTCATGCTCCTTCAGTCTTCAGTTTGGCAGGGCTTGGCCAACGCTCGAGAATTCCAGATCTGAAAAATGAAGACCCTGGGGCTGTATTTATAGGCTTCAGGAGCCCTGTTTTCTGATAAGAATGATCGACTCACTCTTATCTTTAGTTATAACCACTAAACCACATTCTTGGATGATATTTTATTAGTTAAAACAAATTCAGGTGGTTAACGGTTGAAAAACGGCTTAAAACAGCCAAAACAGATTTTCGGGGCTGCGAACACCCATGGGTGTCTCGGCTATGCTTTGGCCGAGACACCATTTGGTGTCTCAGCCATGCTTTGGACGAGACACCATTTGGTGTCTCGGCCAAGCATTGGCCGAGACACCACTAGGTGTCTTGGCCAAACTTTGGTCAGGATCTGGTTTTGCAGTTCTATCTGTTTCCACTGTATCTTCAACGTTCGAACTCGGAATTACGTGGTTCAAGATGCATTGGAAAGATAATGAGGAGATCTATAAGCTCCAATGGTTGAATCACACGTAAAGTAGATGGGACACAAGGGGCGTTTCGTCTTTTGTAAGTGACGCGGATCTCCCGATCTATTCGTGTTTCGATTATTCTGAAGTTTCGTTGTCTTGCATGGTTCGTCGACTCACTTCATACGCTTGTTGTTGTCAAATGAGCTTCCTTGACTCGGATAGCAATGTTCATCATTTTCTCTCTATTCCGAGCCACTTGCGGGGACCTATAGGTAATTTTTGACGCCTACACTAATCAGCATATATTTTGAGGCACCTTGCCAATCTCATCTACAAGTCACTAAGAGAATTATGCAGTACCTAAAGGGGACTTATGATCATGATTTGTTTTATTCTTTATTTAATAATTGTGATATTATAGCCTATTCTGGTAGTGATTAGAGTGGAGATCATGATGATCGTAAAATTAGTTTTGGCTATGCTTTTAATTTTGGCACCGCCACATTTTCATGGTCGTCGTAGAAGCAGTCTATTGTTGCACGCTCAACTTGTGAAGTGGACTATGTAGCAGTTGCGTCGAGTGCTTGTCAAGCAAATTGGTTGCGTAATGTGATAAGTCAGATTCATATTCAAGTTGAAGGTCCTATAAAGATTTATGTTGACAACAAGTCCGCAATTGATTTGACGAAGAATCTAGTCAATCATGGAACGAGCAAACATATCATACTCGTAACCACTTTTTACGAGACAATGTTGAGAAGAACGAGATCGTGTTGATTTATTGCAAGTCTGAAGATCAAGTTGCGGACATCCTTAGGAAACCTTTGAAGTTTGAAGCGTTTGTCAAGTTGAAGCACATGATGGGAGTGCAGACCTTACGGAATTAGGATTAAGTAGGAATGTTTAAGTTAATCCTAATTATAAAAGGATTTGAGTTAGTTATCTCTAGGAATTATAGTCATACTAGATTTCTATTGTGGAAAACTTTGTAAAGATTTTAAATAGGTATTCATGCATCCTTCCACCTAAGAGGAAAAAAAAGGGGCTGAGTAATGTAGCTACAGTAACAGTTAGCTAAAAATAGCTTTTTATTTGCTTCTCCCACTAAATCTCCCCTCATACATATTATACTTTTATTTGCTTTGTTTTATATTGTTCCAACAAACCAAACGAACAATCCAAAAATATATTCACGAATCTCATGGAACAGTTGGAGGAGGGATGATGGGCTGCGAGTGTTGAGGTGGAACAATTGGAGGAGGGATGACGGGCTGCGAGTGTTGAGGAGGAGGAGGAGGAGGAGGGGCATCATGACCCTCTTGATTCGGACCACTCGGGACTAAACGCTTTCTCTCTTCAAATCCATTCAAATATCCGAAATGTTTGTGCCCGTGAACAGTTGGAGGAGGGATGATGGGCTGCGAGTGTTGAGGAGAAGGAGGAGGAGGGGCATCACGATCCTCATGATAAGGACCACTCGGGACTTCAAATCCATTCAAATATCCGGAAAGAGGCCCACTTGGTATCGGGTTTGGACCCAGAGGAAGCCCAATAACTCTTGCACTGAAGGCACCACCACTGGAGAACACAAGAACCAAAACAACAAAGAGGAATCCTTTGCTCGCCATCTCTCTTTGAAATTTCTATGCTCTGAAATGAACAGGGATTGAGTATTTATAGCGTTTAGGTTGAAGGAATTAAAGTTTTGCATTATTACCTATTTCCAAAATTGCATACTAATTAAACATATGTAATTTACAATAAATTCGAATGTATCTAGTTAATTGCCTAGGAAATTAAAGCATTCAGGTTAATTCGGATGTATCTAGTTAATTGCCTATTATAGAAAATTTATCTTTTGATCATGCACGTGAATATTTTCCCATTTCAATGTATTCCCTTTGAGCATTTGGTGTTTATTTCCGAATTCACAGTAAATTCGGATGTATCTAGTTAATTGCCTATGATACGTATCTGCAATAAAAGGAAAGCATTCAGGTTAGATACAATAGAAAATTTGTCTTCTGATTATGCACGTGAATATTTTCCCGTTTTGATGTATTCCCTTTGAGCATTTGGTGTTTATTTCCGAAGATGTGATTTCGAAGGATGTTTTATGATGTGAATTAAGTCCAACAAATATGGAATTATTCCTAATATTATGATTTAAATGCCTTAATCAATGACTCTCTCCTTTCCTCACGTTTTCTTTCTCTCTCTCTCTCTCTCTCTGAGTCTCTCTCTCCCCTTAAATACTTTAAATGTTATTATACTTAATCGATTCGTCTTCATGTTTTCTTTATGCATTTGAACCTTATTATTAACCTTGATACCCTTAAAATATTCTTTTGCACAAAAAGAACCCCTAATTCTACCTCATTTTAAACTTCGATACCTCAAAATTCAACAAATTTTAATTCCAATACCCCAAACTTTTTAACAAAATTTAACTTTTATACATTAGCTTTAACAAAATCAACAAAAAAAAGTTTTAAGTTTAGGTGTCAAAGTTAAAACTTTGTTAAACTTTGAGGTATCAATTCAAAATTTTGTTAAACTTTGGGGAACTTGGGCGAAAGAAACATCAGGGTATTAGGGATATTTATTGGGATAAAACGGATTTTGGTGTACCAAAATTAAAATTGAGTTAAACTTTAGAGCATTAGAGTGTAAATAACCCAGTCAATTTTAGTAAGCGCGCTATAGAGAGGAGAGAGAGAAGCCATACTGAAAGATAGAGACTAATAATGGTGTTAAGTCATACTAATTGGAACGTTGGGAATAATTCGTGGAATTTTATCCACATTAATGTTGCGCGCAGCGGAAATTTCGGCAGCACTTCGGCAGCACAACAAGAGAGTCAGATCGCAATAAGAATTTCCGTCTCACCAAAGAGACAAGAATCTGAAGCGGATATCTCAACCAAGTGAGATATCGGCTCTTCCTCTCATCAGTTCTAGGACTGACCTGTCGAGGGATCCTAAAAGCTATTACAAATCACACAAATAGCAGTACAATCAATTTTTTACGTGGTTCGGCAAATTGCCTACGTCCACGGGGCAAGGAGGGGGAGATCTACTAATAGAGGGAGAGAATACAACTAGGGTTTACAATCACTCTCAATCTAAACCCTCAAACAAACTCTCAAATCCCTCACAAATATCTCTCTACAAAAGGATGCACAAAACCCTAGAGAGGGGCTGCTCAAGCACAAAGAAAACAAACAAAACGGCGACTTCCCGTAGCCGCAAAATATTCCTCTGCCTTGCACGCCGCCTCCTTCGCACGCAGCCACAAAAAAATCCCTGCACTTGATTTTTCTCCGTAGCCGCCAAACAAATCAATCCTTGCGCCTCTGCCTGCTCACCACCGAATACCTAGAAACCCGCATGGTATTTATAAATGCGATCATATGAAGCGGTACATGGGCTCTCGTGGGCTTTCGTGAAGTCTTCACGCGGAAACAATATTCGGCTGGGAAAAGACATCAATGTGGGTGGATCCCACATACACAATTCTCCACCTCGGTGAAGTTTTTCAAAACTGAGCCGACACCAAAGCAACCAAATGTCCCACTTGTTGTGACCAGTACGAACTCAATCCACACACCAAAGCAACCAAATGTCCCACTTGTTGTGACCAGTACGAACTCAATCCACAACAAGTCGAGAACCCGAATGAGAGTCCAAACAATCTCACCCCAATTAACTAATCCAAACCGGCTGCATCTAAAAGACTGCCTACGTATCCTCTTGCCCAAGGAATCAAGCCGAACGTAGTTCACCCAAATGGCCGCCAACGGCCTCAACAATCACGAATATGCAACAAGTTTCGACAATGATCAAACTTGTTGCTCGGAACCACCTTAGTGAGCATATCTGCCGGATTATCCTTCGTGTGGACTTTAACAATTTCCACATCGCCATCTTCAAGAACATCCCGAACGAAGTGATAACGAACGTCAATGTGCTTCGTCCTCGCATGAAAAACCTGATTCTTCGCCAAATAGATAGCACTCATGCTATCACAATGAATAGTGACGGACCTCTGCGATATACCAAGTTCCTTCAAAAGTCCTCGAAGCCAAATAGCCTCCTTCACAGCCTCCGTAACTGCCATATACTCTGCGTCCATCGTAGACAAAGCCACCGTCGACTGTAAGGTGCTTCTCCAACACACCGGCCCACGGGTTAAAGTAAACACATACCCCGTCGTAGACCGACGCTTATCCAAATCCCCGGCATAATCCGAATCAACATAACCAATGCATAGCTGCCCACCTGTAGTGTCCCGCTCATAAACCAAACCAACTTGAGCGTACCTCGAATGTACCTCAAAATCCATTTCACAGCGTCCCAATGACCCACTCCTGGATCGTGCATGTATCTCGAAACCATGCTTACCGCCTGTGACAAATCCGGTCTCGTACATATCATCGCGTACATCAAGCTCCCAACCGCACTCGCATATGGAGTCTTTGACATCAACTCACGATCTTCAACTGACTTCGGTGAAAGACCAGCTGAAAGCTTCAAATGGGCTCCCAAAGGTACACCAACTGGCTTCGTATCCATGCTAACATGGAATCGCTGTAGAACCTTCTTCAAATAAGCCACCTGTGTCAAACAAATTCTGCCCTTCTTCTTGTCTCTGCCGATCTCCATCCCTAGAATGCGCTTCGCCTCACCCAAGTCCTTCATCTCAAACTCATTTGAAAGCTGAACTTTCAACTCATCTATAGCCGACCTGAAACTAGAGGCAACCAACATGTCATCGACATAAAGTAACAAATAGATGTACGCACCTCCTTTCAACTTGCGAAAATATACGCAAGGATCAAACTGGCTCCGAGTGTACGAATGACCAAGCATAAAACCATCAAATCGCCTATACCACTGTCGAGGAGACTGTTTCAAACCGTATAGCGATTTCTTCAATCTGCAAACCAACTTATCTTTCCCTGCAGCTCGGAATCCCAATGGCTGAGTCATATATATTTCTTCATCAAGATCACCATGAAGAAATGATGTCTTCACATCCAACTGATCTCCATCCAACTGATCTAATTCCAAACCATACTGTGCCACCAAAGCTAGCAAAATCCGAATCGAAGAATGCTTCACCACCGGAGAGAAAACCTCATTATAGTCAATACCTTCCTCCTGTGCATAGCCCTTCACAACCAACCTAGCCTTGAATCTCAACGGAGTGCCTTCAATGCCCTCCTTCTTCGTGTATACCCACTTGCAACCAATTGCCTTCCGCCCCTTTGGAAGCTCAACAAGCTCCCATGTATCGTTCTTATGAAGAGATTCCATCTCCTCCTGCATAACCACCTGCCACGAATCAGCCTCCGAACTCTGCTCGGCCTCTCTGAATGTAGTAGGCACCAACTCATCGATACTCTCCACCGGAAGTGCATACGCAACTGTGTCGGCATACCGTGCTGGCATCTGTATGTTTCTCCTCTGTCTCCGAACCGCAATAGGATCTTGAACCTGAGCCGTCGGTTCCTGATCCTGCACATTTGTACTCGTATCCTCCGTGTCATCGTCGTGCTCGCCTGGCGTCACCTCAGTCGGCACCTGCATGGATACTGTACCATCTGGACAATGTGGAGCTGCATCGATCTCCACCACCTGCGATATCTCCTCTGTCGGGTTGCTCTCCACCTGATGAGAGCTGGGAAGCTTCAAGATAGAAGCCTCATCGAATGTGACGTCCCTACTCAGCACAATCTTCTTATCAACTGGATCCCAAAGCTTGTATCCCTTGACACCACGCTTGAATCCTACAAATATGGCCTTCCTAGCTCGAGGTTCCAATTTATCAGTTCTAACATGATAATATGCAGGGCAACCAAATACCTTAAGCTGGTCATAGTCATGTGCTGTCTCTCCCGACCACATCTCCATAGGGGTCTTCCCCTCAATCGCAGATGAAGGCAGCCTATTAATGAGGTGGCTCGCATATGTAAGTGCCTCAGCCCAAAAGATCTTCTCCAAACCACTCTGCGACAATAAGCATCGGATCTTCTCCAGTAAAGACCGATTCAACCTCTCTGCCACCCCATTTTGCTGCGGTGTATGACTAACTGTGAAGTGTCTCTCTATGCCCTCGTCTCGACATAGCTGCTGAAAGGGGTCAGAAGTATACTCACCACCGTTGTCGGATCGCAACGTCTTGATCTTTCTCCCAGTCTGCAGTTCCAATCTCTTCTTCCACTCCACAAACAAATCTAGGACTTCACTCTTCTTCGTCATGGTGTACACCCAACAACGCCTAGAATAGTCATCTACAAAAGTGACGAACCAATGTCTACCACCAAGTGATGCAGTCTTGGTGGGACCCCAAACGTCTGTGTGCACGTAGTCCAGGATGCCCCTCGTCTGATGAATGGCAGTCCCGAACTTCACCTTTGTCTTCTTGCCAAGAACACAGTGCTCACAAAACTCAATCTTCCCACTCTTGGCTCCCTTCAATAGCCCCTGCTTGCACAATGCCTGCAGTGACTTTTCACCTGTGTGCCCCAATCTATAGTGCCAAAGTCTGCTCATGTCCGCTTCTGAAATAGCCGAAGCAACCTGGCCAATCTCGGTGCTCCCCTTCAGATAATATAAATTATGATTTCGGACTCCCTTCATCACCACCAAAGATCCCTTAGTAACCTTTGCTACAGCATCCTCAAAGGTCACCCTGAATCCCTTCGCCTCCAAAGCCCCCACTGAGATAAGATTCTTCTTAAGTTGAGGAACGAATCTCACCTCCTTCACCTCACGGACTACTCCATCGTGCATACGAATCCTCACAGTACCTATCCCACGAACGCCACAGGATTGATCATTTCCCATGACCACAACACCCCCATCGAGTCTCTCAAATGATGAGAACCAATCTCGCCTAGGAGTCACATGATAAGTAGCGCCAGAATCAAGCATCCACTCCGATGCATCCAAATGGTTCACCTCCGGAGTAATCAAAAGAGAAAAGCTCGAATCATCGGAATCATCGCCTTTCGCAACATTCACCTCATTGGCCTTCGGGCCCTTATTCTTGCTATTCTCCTTTTCTTTGACTTTCGGGCAATCTCTTTTCCAATGTCCCTGCTCCTTGCAGAATGCACATTGATTCTTTCCAAGCTGGTGACGACCTCTTGACTTTGACCTCCCTCTGTTTCCACCTTTCTGATATGAGCTTCTACCTCTCGCCGACAAGGCCTCTCCTGAAGTACTAGCGCGGGAAGTCTCCTTATCCTTCCTCCTCAAATCATAGTTCGTCAATGCGTTAGTCACTTCACTATAAGTGATAGAAGATCTCCCGTTCAGCAACGTAAGCACGAAGGTATCATACTCCTCATCCGGTAAGGAGCCCAAAAGAATAATAGCCTTGTACTCATCTGTGATCTTCTCATCCACGTTCGCCAAGTCCGACAACAACTTAGTGTAGTTGTTCACATGAGCCGCAAGCGAGGTACCTCTGGACATCTGGAATCTGAATAACCTTCGCAGCAAGTGCAACCGGTTCTCAACACTCTTCGTAAGGTACTTATTGTTGAGAATTTCCCACATCTTCATCGCAGACGTCACCCCAATCACATCGTATTTCAGCTCCTGTTCCAAACAGGACCTGATCACCCCGCAAGCATTTCGATTCATCTTTTCCCATATCGCCTCTTCATATTTAGGTGGCCTCACATCGACCATGATGGTCTCCTCCAGATTTTGAGCATTGAGCGCATAATACCCAGGTCGGCCCAAAATTAGCAGCAATACCTACACAACAAGATCTAATGAAGCAAAAGCAAGAAAGACTTCTTACCAGTCATGACGGCTGCCTCCTGCCAAAGGCACTCAGTCTCCATCTACTCCTGGCCCTTTTGTCACTACGTCGCAAACCAATAAAGACCCAGATTTTGATCCAGAATCAACTACAAAGAAAAAGTCCCAATTTAATCTAACAAAAACATATCCAAAACAAGATTCAACAAAGAAAGCAAGAATCATTTCTTACCTCGCATCATCAAAAGAAAAGGCGCTTGATCTCCTTCTCAACAAAACCCTAGTAATGTAGAGAAAAGGGAAAGGGGAATTCTCGCGGCCGCCATTGGCACGATCAGAGAGATAGAGAACTAGGGTTTTGTTGAGAAAAGGGAGAGGGGAATTCTCGCGGCAGACATTGGGACGATCGGCGAAATGTAATGGGAACTAGGGTTTTCGTTGAGAATAGGGAAAGGGTAATTCTCGCGGTCGCCATGGGAACAATCGGGGAGATATATATAGAGAAATATAATGGGAACTAGGGTTTTTGTTGAGAATGGGGAGAGGGGAATTTTGAGGCGGCGAGGGTTTCTTACGGTGGGAAGAGGGACTATTAATTTATTAGTTTATATCGACTATAGAAGCGACCGACTTAAGCAACCACATAACAGTAATATTACGCCATTAAGGAAACGATTTTAGCATAATCAATGCTTTGATTGAATATCTTTTGAGTTATCTCGAAGATTTTATAATGATGAGTGTCAAAGTGCAGTAACTAAATAAGGAAAGTCTAGTTGTTTTGCCAGCTTAATAATTTTCTTGTGAAGTTGCATATATATATATATACTAGTTGGATTGCACGTGCAATGCACGTGGTAAAATTTTTAATATTATTTTAAATTATAATGATATTTAGGTAAAGATTTGGTATAAACTTATTGAATGTAATTATAAATGTTTGAACAATAAATTTATATGTAGGGATCAATTATGCGATAGTAGAGTTGTTGTAGATACAATGTGATTGATCAATCAAATACTATAACAAGAATATACCTAAAAGTTAATTTTGATGATGTGTATGTAAATCCATACTTATGACGCTATAGTCTTTCTAAGTCTTTGCACTAATTTCTTTAAATAAAAAGCCTTTGATTATCCTTTCATCTCAAAGCTTCTCTTTCTAAGTCTTTGCACTAATTTCTTTAAATAAAAAGCCTTTGATTATCCTTTCATCTCAAAGCTTCTGATTGCGCATTGTGTTTCATATATATTTGCCAGAGTTCTTTTCCCGGCCTTTGCTTTGCTATCCATTGATCATTAACTGTGCACTGTAGTGATTTGCTTGGCTTGGTTGCCTTCTCTTCATCTTGTTGTTATTTTGTGCCAAGAGGTTCTGTGTATGGTTCACTAATCGCCACAACTCTATTAGAGACGACTGATGTCTCATTCGAAGGAGATTGCATAAATTTTGTCGAGGACCCTGTCGATAAGCATAATGAAGAAGCAACAAACATTCACCAAATACAAGTCAATGTGAATCCTATATATTTTGCTGGATTGATTCAGATTGAGCAAGTAGCAAATGTTGTGATGAGGCTCAGGCAAAGAAATAAACCAGATCTTTAGCATCAGAATGTATGTCGTTAATTTGTTTGAAAATTGTTATGCTGAAAATTGGTTCATACCCAAAATGCAAGCTCAATAAAGAGTAAGTTGACTTGCGCCATTCATTATTCAAGCTCTGCCGACTTGTTATGCAGCCTAATATACCTAATAGTTGACCATTGTCAGATAAAATAGATTATACTGTTCAATGTTATACGGAGTCACAGTTTTTGGGTACATGCAATTTATAAGTCACAGTTTTCAATGTTATTAAACTTAATAGGTGAATATACCTAGTCCGTCTAGTCTGGTAAATAATGTCCCACCCGAGGGATCCTGAAGAAAACAATTTGGTTTAGCCATTATATCAACAGAGAAATAAAGAGTAAACAGCTCATAAATATACATGCTTAAGTCCTGGATCTAAATGAACTGTGGAAAACCACACTGGATCCTCATTCTCTACAAAGATTTATCAAGTTATTGGTCCCTCTACTTCCTCACGTCATGTTTACGTCCATGTGAGAGTTAGCTGGTCATGATTATTACACCTGATGAACTACCCAAACCCACAATCTTCTATAAAACCAAGCAACAGGTTTCATGAGTTTTAAACAAAAATATTCAGAAGATCTTATGGCTTCCAAACCAAGTCCCCTTACTGAATGGTCATGGCAGAGGTTGGGTAACTTCAAAGTTCACTTTCATCATCATGCCTCCATAGTCACCGAGCCTATAACATGTAAGCTTCTGTATTGATTGTGTGGCACTTATGTATACAATATTGTGTCCTACACATGCTCCAGGTAGAAAATTTTGGTACTCAATTTGAATAAGAAAAGTGCTTTACGATTCCATTCTCTTCATGATCCTAATCACTGGGCCTTTTATGTATGGATAAGTAATACACAAATTCTTTAAGGCTTCTATATTCCTCATATTACCTTAAATCATGTTTAGATCTAGTAAAACAACAAAACATTCTCGCTTGTGAATTGGCTCCTGCATTTTATGATCAATATTTCTATCAACATAGACAACATCAAGAGCATATGATACAAACTGATTTAGAGTACCTCCTTTGAGTAGTTATCCATCACAATCATATATTCATATTTGTCAATTACCTTCTTCAGCCTACATATCTTCCACCTTTACATTTTTCATCAAGTGATTTATTTCCTCTATCTTATACCAGTCACATCTAAGACATCGTTACCCACTTACCCTCCATATTTTTAGATCAATGACATATAAACAACATGGTCAAAAACATTGACAAATATGGAACTTGGTGACAGGGACCTAACAATTCCTTAACTTGCTCAAGCTTAGGTACGTGAAAAACACAGGCCAAGTGGAAATGTACAATGAAGAAGAGACCAAAATGAGCCTTACAAACATATATGAGCACTTTTGTACGAGTCTTTAATTTTTGAGGTGGTTGACATAAAAGCCTATTTCTTTAACTTTTGCCATTATGGTAATGTAACTAATGCTAGCCAATTATAAAAGCATATTTATGGCCTGGTATCTGTATGACATGCTCGGAGGTCTATCAAAAAATATGTACTAAAGGATAGTCAACAGGAAGTTCAGTAGAAAAGCAACACAATTAGAAAATCAACACAAGTAGAAATGAGCCAAAGAAACAGAGAAGAAGCAAACATATGCTCTCTATGCCTAACCATGTGCCGGGCATAAGCAATGATGAGTCCACCAGGGAGAGGGCATTTGGCATATCATAAATTATTGGTCAAACACTTTTTAAGTAATTTTCAGAATAGTTTTTTTTTTAAAATTGATTTTACCCACCCATGTGCAAATTGAAATTAATATTGTTAGTAGTTTTTTTTGTTAATGATGTAAGATGATGAGAAAAGTGAGCAAAATCTATTTAGAGAACACTATAAAGTTCTTAGTAACACAATAGTAAACTTCCATTGGTTCTTGATATTTTATCTCAAAGTTCGGCACAAGCATCATCATTGATTGCATTTATTTATTACTTTGATATGCTAATTCTTCACAAAATAATATAAGAATCTTAGTTAGCTTTAGAAATTAAAAAGAAGAGCAAACTGGAACACTCAATTCATAGGAATAATATTTTGATCTAGGTGGCTCTTTGTGTGTAAGCAGACATGTAGCGGTAAATCTCTGAAATGAATCTTTGGATAAATTAAAACGAAAATTTAAAGAAACACAATTTTCAAGAGATAGAACAAGACTAACCTTCATCCAGGTTGAGCAGACTCCTTTGTGAATCCTTCATGTCGGTGTTGGTCCATGGACTAAAGAACATGTTACATGGATTCTAGTTAATGCCATTCTGCAAAAAGAAGTCCCACCCATTTTTTAATGCTAGAATGAATACACCTCGTGCAAAGTGTGTGAAACTATTAATGTCCAAAAACCAAAACATCAACTGTTGCTCACCTTGGTGAAGATGATATTGAATAATATCTAGGCTGCAACCGGGGGGCTATTGCTGCAAAGAAAACTCCTAGTGGAGGCTTGGCTGAAGGGAACTCGGCCATAACCTCCAGGAGGCTCCTCTGACTTGCAACTATCCATTGAGAATATCCATCCTATGTCAAAGAAAAACAATAGAAAATGAGAAAGTGATTTATGATAAAAAACTAAAATATTAGACAATTAGAGTCACCAATAACTGAACCTACCTTGCCAGCAGGAGACGCCAAAAATCTCAATCTTTCTGCCTCACTGGGATCAGAAGCATGTGCAGCTAAAGCAACTAAAGCAGTCTGAATAGCGACAATTGATAGTATCAAATATAATGTTTTAGAAACAAATGTTTAAATTAGTTGTTTGAATCCAGATAGTTCTTGCCTTTTTAGGAAAATTCAGAAGATCAGCATATCATGCAAGAGCAGTTCTTAGAGTACAGGGAGATGGGAAAGGAGGTGGGAGAGAGCCACTGTTGTAGGGGGTTCCATCTTCATTATCAACATGAATGGAGAAGAATGTATTCGATGAAAGACCCAATAGCATTTCAGCCTCCTCTACAGTCTCAATGCAATTCTCTGAATATACACCAACGTGTTCTCCTGTTTCATATTCGGTGGAAGAGTTTTTTTTACCGTGAGCAGAAGGAAATGTGCCAGCAATATCTAATTTAAGTTTGTAAAGCAACAACAAACATATAATAATGACGACAACAACATAAACCATAAAAATAACCAACACAGACATAAACTCATAATTTAAGTTTGTTTAGCTTATACATTAATGAGCTTGTCAAAATAAAAATTTAAAAAAATGAAAGAGAAAGAAAAAGAGAAGATATAAGACGAAAAACATGAAATGTAGGAAAACCCTATCCATTACATGTATAACCTCTAATGAACTGCACAACATCGATCTACGAACCCCTACAGAGCGCGAATTCATACAACTTCTTAGGATCATAAGATTGATTCAATGGTTGTTTTCACATGCTATAGCACCACTCTCACGTATCTAAAGGCAAAGTTGTTCAAAGACAAAAAACAAGTCATAAAGACTTTGAACATATCCGGCACTCGAACAATCAGATTATTGTCATGTTAAGTATACAATTGAATGAGTTGCATAAAATGAATAATGTGACGTGGAATCAAAAGAGGAAAAAAAGAAATAATGTGATATTGAATCAAGAAAGCAAAAAGAAATACAAGTACTTACGCAAGACCAGTTTGAGCAATGTCAAACTCCAGATGAATGCAAGAACGATCAGAAGCTGGAGTGTGGAGCTATTTCCGCACAACTACGTTAGTTCTGAAGATCGGATATCATGTATTATTCCATTATTAGATGAACTTAAATACATGTCTCAATATAAAACATTCCTTTAGTACCTACATGGATGATGAATATCATGAACGGCATGACCATTTGCAAGACTCCATTTCTTTTCCAAATGTGATGTGGCTCCTGAGTCAACAAACACAACCCTGTATTCAGGAACAACGGCTGTGTAAGTAGTAGATGCACCTGATGCATCATCTTGATTTCAAAGCAAATGATCTAATTCTGGCCATAATTGCTCTTTCTTGTAAGAATATATACCTTGTTACTTGCAAAATTTCGGCATATGGAACGTTTAAACACAATAATGTACTAAAAGCAATTTCATCTAGGAATTTCTTTGCAAATCAGGATGCAACACAATTTATTTAATGGTTACTTTAAGTTTAGCAGCAACATGAACGTGTTGTTACCATGCAGTGAAGCATCTTCAATGCACTGATCATCATCTCCTAGGCCTACTTTGACAAGGCGCTTCGCTCCTACCACAATAAGGAAATTTATAAATTTACTTAATCACATAAACAAGGCAGAAAACATAATTATAGCTTTTACGACTACACTATGGACAATAACCGATCAAGCAGGATACGTGGAAGAAGACTGATAGTTATATTAATAGCACTGAAAGACTTATGTTGCATGAGTGCAAGACCATTTTGGTTTTTTGTAAGATTATTTTGTCCAATGTGCTAAGCATGAAAAATGCTCATGTTGTCCTCTTCCCCAAATGAAAAGCAAGAAACAAGAATAATGCCAACCATGCCCGAAGTAGAAAAATTGTTGTTTGGGAACATATATCAAATTATTGGATTTAACTGAAAATATAAATGATAAAGAGAAACAACAAACATACTTGAGCCCAAACATAAAGAAACAATAAAACAAAATACACTCAACATATTTTTAGCGAAATAACCAGACCTTAATCTGTACAATGCGGAAATCAGGTAAGCTCCAATCCTTAAGAACATAGACTATAATGTATTTGTATGATGCCACATCACACCAATGATCCTACTTTTTATTGCATTTATCCTCAACTTTGTAGATATTATGCATTTTTATACATAAAAAAGGGGATATTGTTTCCGAGCATAAAGCTATCATATAATAGATACTTTTATAGAAGTGAATTCGCATGTAAGTTAAATTGCTCGTTCAGTATGCAACTAAAACCATATGATAACTTTGTTTGCAAGCAGAAAGTTATATGCAGCTTCGGGGCAGCTAAAAGTCACTAACTACGAACTTAGGACTTCCTAAGCATTGATATTTCAGTATGTAACTAAAACCATATGCATTTACCAACACTGATATTAACTTATTTGTTGGGGGGTTTCAATCTGCTACTGAGGCAGCCATCCATGCGATTTGGGTAGGAAAGAATTTCAGTTACGCCTAAAAGAGTTTTCTGGAACTGGAAGCACACTCTCCATTTACTTGGAAAGTATGAGAAGGTCAAAATATCAATATCCTTAACATATCAAAAGTCAAATACATGTTTATTAATGCTAATATAGGCAAGTAATATTTATATTATCAAACATTGAGCATTATATTTCCTAAAATTTAAAAAATCATAGGTAAAATTTAGAAATACCTTCTTCAATGAAATTCCTTCCCGATCCTAACCGATGCCAAAATTCTGAGAACCGATGAGATGATGGCGGAGGCGTGGCGTTGATGATTAGGGCAATAATACGCATCTTTAAGATCATGGGACGGTGTAACTGATGAACTGAGGAGATGAGCTGAGGAGAAGGGTAACCGATGAACTGGTTGGAGGCAATAATACTTATCAATTACATGCTCGCTCGGCAATCTATCAAGCAAACCCATCACCTAACGTTCTATGATACTCCCTCACTGTATATTCTTGTGTGATATCAATGGGAACCGAAACCAGAAAAGATCACTTCTTTAAACGCTTCTCACCTAATACAATTCTCCACATAGACATTCAAGCAATACTACCACCGCAAACTGGTAAATCAAGGTTTAAAGACTTGATCTTCAAGCGATTTTGTTAACCAAGAAATGAACTTTTGCCGCATTCTGCTGAATTTCGATGGGGAAATTGGGGAGTGGGATTGAGATATCTTGATTTCTTCTCTTGCGTCCCTTGAAACCCCAATTTCTCGCGTTAAAGCCTCAAATTTAATGGCCCTTGTTGATTGTAGCTCGTACATTCTCGCTGAAACCTTCCGATCGAAATGTTACTGCTTACGAAATCGCTCATCGAGATGAATGTATGAGGAGGCGCAACCGACTTTTGGTTTCCGAAGATTATGATGAAATCTGTGTAACGATTATAAGGGATAACTTTGGTATATTTTAATTGGTTGAAGGGTAATTTGGGGAAGGAAAAGTTTTTCATGAACTCCCTCTTTTAAAGGGTAGATAGATAGATAGACCATCCAAGCTATCATGTTTAATTTAGATTATACATCACATAAACACAGATTGATAAAAAGATAATGTTTAAGTTGCAATGATCATATGAAAAAATATCTCGGCATTTGTAAATTTAAAATTGCCATTATGATTCTATGAAGCATAAGATTTATAATTTCCTTTCAGTTATAGCAACCTATTATATTTCTTTTTGGTTAAATGAATAAGCAGTTTTTCATTTATTAAAAAAAAAACAATTTTCCCAATGCACCATTAGGAGGTAAGAGAGAGAGAGAGAGATGAATAGCAAGTAGCTCCTAATTTATACTAATTTCTCTCCTTAATTACCTCCCTCCTCTCTATCTCTTTTATCTCTTAACGAGAGTCCGTAGTTATGAACACGTACCCCAGTTAGAAAAATTTAAATACAAATATTTCTTTATGTAAGTGATTAGAACTTCTTAGAAAAATGGCTACCCAACATGATACGAGGTAAGAAAATATTGGAGTTTGCATTAGAATATAATTGAAGTGCATAAATCACACTCATCCATAAACATTTGAGGATATATTATTTAAATACGGAAGGGATAATTCAAATGATTATAAGAATAGTAATTTGGGTTTCTCTTCACTAAAAGAAAGGAGCTCCTCTCCCTTATATTTGACTTACCTAATATTCCATGGATGAATATAAGAAGATATTAGATTTGGTAAAGGGAAATTGTGCACTCAATGTACTTCAGAATGATAAAAGTTGTGTTTAACTCTTTAATGTTCATTGAGTATTTATATCGTGTCATGATATTGTGCATTGGATGGCTCAAGCCTAATGCACGTAATTAGTTGGTATGTTGGTTCATGCATAAAATCTATTTAACTAGTCACTAATAATTAGTAAATTTGGGGAACCCCAATTCGTTACTCTAGTATGGTAGTATGTACTAAGCGTGTTACTTTCATGAATCAATATGTACGTTGTAAAAGATCTTAAAATTTATACATCTCTTCCAATATCTATCTCATTAGCATAAATCACGTTAAAATGATCAGTATAGGAGCCATGACCCGAGGGGTAGTGGGGGCAATCAAGTTTTAATGAATAAAATATAATATTTATAAATTCACTAGTATAAGTTTATTAATAAATTCCAATATTGAAAGAAAATATATTTAAAATATCCTCAACGAGTTTTTATTTTTTTAAATCTTTACATAATCAAGATTGTTGATATTAAGTGATCATATAGTCAATTATACCGTGGTTGGATAGGGGTGAAGAATGGTGAGGGGCCGCTTCCTTCCCTGAATATCGGTTTCTGAGTTTGAGTAGCTGAAAAGTCTGCACATATAGAAACATGTGAGAGGATGGGGACTGGTTCCCCTAAGGTTCCTCCAACGATCAAGTCAGCTGGTGAGCTTGAGTGAAAAAAATAAAGAACTGTGCGAGTTTTTTTGTGTGCAGTATGATTTACAAAAGAAGCCAGGTCAAAAGTCTTTTTTACGTTAGAATAGTACCTCTATTAAAACTGATGCCTGTAGGCACCCAAAAAATTGCCAAGA